CATTATTTTGTGAGTCATTTAGTGCATACATTAAATCAAATGGCTCATATTCTCTGAATTATGATAATTTATTACTAATATTTCCTTATTTTTTCCTGTCTGATTGTTGAACCTACTTGGACTGATATTTTATATCCATGAATTTTTTGTGATACTTTTCACATTACTATTATTATTATTATTATTTGCCCTGATTAAGGAAAATTTTCTCAATGTTAGCCTAGAAAACTTTAAAACTTAAAAGAATCAATCTTATGATTTTAGACTTACAGAGTTGCAAAATCATTACAGACAGTTCTATTGTATCCTCTAAATTTTCTTTTCTTTTTTTTTTTTTTTTTTGTTTTTTTTAATTGTGAACTACTGCAGTGAATTGTTTATTTATACTGGTGACACTGTCTTGTATTTAAGCTCAAGCAGAAGAAATGGATCTTCTTTTTTTTAACATGTATTCCCCATCCCGGTCCCTCCTCCCACCTCCCTCTCCACCCAATCCCTCTGGGTCTTCCCAGTGCACCAGGCCCGAGCACTTGTCTCATGCACCCAACCTGGGCTGGTGAACTGTTTCACCCTAGATAATATACGTGTTTCGATGCTGTTCTCTTGAAACATCCCACCCTCGCCTTCTCCCGGAGTCCACAAGTCTGTTCTATACATAGGAGTCTCTTTTTCTGTTTTGCACATAGGGTTATCATTACCATCTTTCTAAACAGCCCTCAGATTGGGAGAAAATAATAGCAAACGAAGCAACAGACAAAGGATTAATCTCAAAAATATACAAGCAACTCCTCCAGCTCAACTCCAGAAAAATAAATGACCCAATCAAAAAATGGGCCAAAGAACTGAACAGACATTTCTCCAAGGAAGACATACAGATGGCTAACAAACACATGAAAAGATGCTCAACATCACTCATTATCAGAGAAATGCAAATCAAAACCACAATGAGGTACCATTACACACCAGTCAGGATGGCTGCTATCCAAAAGTCTACAAGCAATAAATGCTGGAGAGGGTGTGGAGAAAAGGGAACCCTCTTACACTGTTGGTGGGAATGCAAATTAGTACAGCCACTATGAAAAACAGTGTGGAGATTTCTTAAAAAGCTGGAAATAGAACTGCCATATGACCCAGCAATCCCACTTCTGGGCATACACACCGAGGAAACCAGATCTGAAAGAGACACGTGCACCCCAATGTTCATCACAGCACTGTTTATCATAGCCAGGACATGGAAGCAACCTAGATGCCCATCAGCAGACGAATGGATGAGGAAGCTGTGGTACATATACACCATGGAATATTACTCAGCCATTAAAAAGAATTCATTTGAATCAGTTCTAATGAGATGGATGAAACTGGAGCCCATTATACAGAGCGAAGTAAGCCAGAAAGATAAAGACCATTACAGTATACTAACACATATATATGGAATTTAGAAAGATGTATCCTCTAAATTTTCTTTTGTGAATATTTGTCTTACATAATATAGGAGAATTATCAAAACTAAGAAATTAACTTTGGTACAGTACTATTAATGAGACTAAGAAACTAACTTTGGTTAATACTATGAATGAAACTAGGAAAATAACTCTGGTTCAAACTGCTAAACAGTAGAATTTGTGCACAGCCCCCCCACCCCCGACCCCACCACTCCTCCCCCAACAACCAATTAATAGACTTTCAGGACTGAGTGACTTTCACTTTCCTGTTTCAGGATCCAGTCTAGAATCTCACCTTGCCTTTAGTTGTTATACCACTTATCTGTGAAAATTTGCTGGTCTTTTCATGTATTTCAAGACCTCGAAGAGTAATGGCCAGTTTATTTTTGCAATGTTCCCTATTTTGAGTTTGTCTAGTATTTTCTCAAGAGTACACTGAGGTAATACATTTTGGGGAAACGGTACCATAGAAGTGATGGCTCTCATTGCACCATATTAGGGTATACATTATGATGACAAGTATTACTCATGTTACTTTACCTTGATGAAGCAAGTATCTGTGAGGATTCTACATTATAAACCCTACATTATTTCTTTTTTAATTACTAAATAATTGGGGGAAATATTTTTGACAATACAAATATGACCAGTTCTTAAATATTCACTGATTTTACCACCCACTGAGGATCTTGCCTATAATAATCATTACTGTAGTGTTCTAATGATGATTTTCTCTGTATCTCATTCCTTCTACATTCCATAAGGAAGAGATGTGCTTTCTCCCCATTTATTTGTTCAGTTATTTATTTATACATGTGGAACTCATGTTTATTTATTTGGAGGTTATAATTCTATTTTATCATTCATTATTTTGTTACTCAAGTTATTCCAGCAGCATTGTCCAGTGGGAGCTCTTTCAGGTTGGCTCCTGTGATCTTTTAACATTCCCCCTTCTATTTTTCATAAAATTTATTCATCTGATACTGCTAGATGCTCTAGGCTCATCTTCTATTTTTCTTCTCACAGCCCTAAAATAAATATTTTCATGAAAAGACCCCTGAGTTTTACTATTGGAAAATTATATTTAGAAACCAAGATCTGGACATGAGGTGTACTTATCGCTTCTATTTCCTCTTAGTGAAAAGATCTAAGCATATGTATTTACCAATTCCTGCATACCTACACATTTATAATTATGTATGCATGTTTGTATGTAATCTGTCATCTACTTGCCTGTCACTTATCACCTATAAGTCTATGCTGATACTCCAATCCAACACCACAGGGCTTATTCTAATTTTCTCCATTTAGTTATTTATAAACTTTCCCCCCTAAAGTCAAAATCTGGTTCTCATTGTGTACAAAGAATTTACTTATTTAACTTTCTTATAACAATAAAGTACTTTTAGATTTGTTAAGCCATATCCAAGGAAGAAACACATTTACCAGATTGTTTAGATACATTTCTTTATACATTCATCCTTATAATATCCAATCAAAACACTAGTTTCCAAAATTCTTAAAGACCAGATTCTCTTTTCTTCCATCCCCTTCAGTATGTTTTTAAATCTCAGTCGTAGTTGTTATTTTGTCACACTCCATCTATCTCACCAACCTGATTTTTTAATTTAAAATTATATATAAAAATCAGTCAGTTGTGTATGGACCCACAGGTTCTGACAAATTCACAGAACAGTTTATTCATCACTACAGTTTCACAAAGAACAATTTAATCCCCAAAAGAGGCTCTTTATATTCAGCCTCTGCCTCTCAAAACCCAATACATGACACCAACTGATTCAATTGATCTAATTTTCCATCCTTACAGTATTATATTTAGAAACCAAGATCTGGACATTAGGTATACTTATTGTTATTGCTTCTGTTGCTTCAAAAAGCATAGACTGATGGAATCATGGAAAGTGTAGTATCTGGTGTCTAACTGCATTTACTTAGCCAGTTATATTAGAGATTTGGGAATCATCTATTTGCAAGGATATACAAAAGTTTGTTCATCCATTCACTGGTTAGAAAATATTTGTTCTGTTTTCAACATTTGGTGACTGTGAATAAAGCTGTTATAAATATTCAGAGTGTGTGCATGAACATACATTTTCATTTCTCTTAGAGTAATACTGTTGGTTCATATGGCAAGCAGAATTACATTCGACTTTATAAAACACTGCCAAATGCTTTCTAATGTGGCTGTATAGTTTTGCATTTCTAATAGAAATATATGAAACTTCTAGTGCATTGCATTATTGATATAACTTGGTATTGCCTGTACTGTTATTGTTACTTTGCTTGTTTTGGCATTTTGATAGCTGTATAGTTTACCTTACTGAAGTTTTAATTTGCAACTCCCTAAAGATTAATAATGTTGAGTTTCTTATAATACACTTATTTGCCACAATTCCATCTTCTTTGGTGATAGCCTCTGGTGATACCTATCATCAGCTCTTTCTAGCATATTTTATTGGTCTTTATTGAGTTTGGGATTTAGATTTGTTTTTATATTTTGAAAGCAAGTTCTGAGATGGAAATTTTATTTGTAAATATTTTCTTTGACTGTATCTCTCTCAATTCACTTAATGGTATCATTGGCAGAAAAGTAATTTTAATTTAAAAAATTTCAATTTATCTTTATAAAAAGCTCAGTTCACCTTTTATTTTAATAGATTATACTTTTGCTGTTTGATCTAATATCTCTTTGCATAAATCACAGTCAGGTAAATTTTCTCCTAAAATTTTTATCTAAAAAGAACATTTTTGTAGATATTATAGTTTTATATTTTTCACTTAGAGCTACAAATAGTTTTTCATTATTAAGATGTCCTGAAGAAAGAGGCTGAGAGCTGTCACTGCCTGTATGGCTTCCAGATAACTCACTCCCTGCCCTGGAGGGGCTGGATCTGGGGTGGTACTCTCCTCACCAGCAAGATCCAGGACTACCCAGGTAGGAACATGAATATTTTTAGCACAGCACCCTTGCTTGAGGTGTTGGACAGGAAAATGGAGCCCTACACCACCACCTACTCAGTCCACCAGCCAGCAGAAAACATAAATGAGACCTAGTGCGTTGATAATGATTCTCTCCATTACATCTGATTCAGAACCATAAAGTTGACCTGGCCCACCTACAGTGACCTGAACCATCTGGCGTTGACCACCATAAGTGGGGTCATTAGCTGCCTGTCCTTCCTTGAACAACTCAATGCTGACCTGACCAAGCCAGCATGAACATGGCCCCCTGTCCCTACCTGCACGTCCTCATGCCTGCTTTGCTCTGCTGAGCAGCCAGGGCAGCCAGTCGTAGGGGCTCCAACAGTGTGGAGCTCACCCAGCCGATGGCAGGCACCAAGCATGTGATGTCGCCTTTGATCTCTGCCGTGGCCGCTGTCTGACTGTGGCCATCATTTTCAGAAACTACATGTCCATGAAGCAGGTGGACGAGCAGATGCTTAACTTCCAAAACAAGAACAGCAGCCGTTCAGTCAGGCGGATGACCAATATTATGAAAACAACTGTCTGTGACATTCTGTCCCTGGGGGCCTAAAAATGTCCGCCATCTTCACTGGCAACAGCACAGTACATAATATTTCTTATAATAGTCCAGTCAGACGGTGGCAGTTTACCGCAGAGGACAGAGACGAAGCCAGCGGAGGGCAGCCAGGAGCCCTGGGTGTTGTCTTGCCCCTCTCTTCCCAGGCCTTGGCCCGAGGCAGCTCCTGTGACTGCCGAGCGACAGAACGACACCCGCCAGGCCTTTTCCAGCAAGCGGCTCTGAGTGGACACAGGTGAGCTCAGTAAGCCCCGGGCCTTCCGAGCAGTGGATAGCCACAGCCCCACCTGGCCTGGGGAGGGCTGACAAGGAGCAGAGAGGAGCGCACTTAGGAGCAGGGAGCTGCTGACTGAAGTGCCCCGAAGGCTCGCTGGGTGAGAAAAGGCAGCGTCTTCAGCACCAGCGTCTCCAAGCAGGACGTGGAACTGGGCCCAGAGATGACTTCCAGTGGTTCTGAGCGAGACGGTCCGTTAAGCCCTACAACTCCGCCGCCCCCAGTATCCTCCACAAAAGTGGACTCCTGCTGGTCCTGCTCAAGGCCTGCATTCAGCTCCAGCTGATTTTTCTGGCGTTGAGGGTCAGAGGGTTGCAGATATGCCTTATCTTCAAGCGCTCCTTCTGGAACTTTTGTTGTTGCTGTTAATTTCCTTTTCCAGCTCCAGTAGCATCCAGCACAGGACCAGCGTGACACCTTCTGCCTGGGATATCCAGTCGAGGCCCTGCAGTTACCAATGGACTATATCCAATGGGTCAAGCAGGCCTGGTCTCAGGTCTGCCGTGGGCGGCTCACTGGGGAACCACCTGGACTGCGAGAGCGGGAAAGAAGGTTTAAAAAAAAAAAAAAAATCCGCTGTGCGCACATGCGCACCACGTCCTTCAGTCCGTGCGCTCTACAGACCGGCCCTGAGGAAGCCGGTGGCGCTACGAGTACCTCACCACAGACGGTGTATTCTAGAAGCTACGAGTACCTCACCACAGACGGTGTATTCTAGAACCACAGCCTGGACGCCTCACACCTAGTGAGTTCCTCTAGACAGAGGAAGGTGTGGCTGACCACCACCTCACCCCAGGCCATCTCAATGTGTCGTGAAGGAGCTCTTCACCAAGCTGGTATCATTCGCTTCAAGGTGGCCCACACAGAGCCCAGCAAGGAGGCGTTCAGCTACCACCAAGGCATGAAAAAGTGGGTGGAGACTGAGTGTGCAGGCTCTAATGTCCCCAGATACTCCTGTCTCTGGGACTCCCCGAAAACCTATTGGTTGTTGCCTGGGGCCTCTCGCTGGAGCACCTGACTATGATCAACTCTGGCGTCAATAATATCTGGGAACTGGTGAGCTCAGGATGAACCTACAGATGTTGGTAGACAGTCTCTTGAGCTGGTTGAGCCGCTGCACCGGGATTCAGGTATATATACTATGATCTGTTGGAGAGAGCGGGTTGATGGGGTGGAAGAAAATGGAAGAGGAAAAAGGGCAGAAGGAGAGGCTTCTTGTAGATTTCTCTATAACTTTGGTTAGAAATATTCTGTTGACTAAATCTGGGGAAATCTATTTTTTAGTTCCAATTCTGTTCCATCAATCTATGGATATATCTTCTTTCCAATACCAGAGTAACTTGATTGGTGTAGCTTAGAGTAAACACTTAAATTGAAATATGTACATCTTCCAAATTTGTTCTTCAGTCTTAAAATCATTTTGTGTCAATTCAAGTTTTGTTGTCTTACCATAAAATTTTTACAGTCAGCCTTCAGGTATTCACAAAAATCTTGCTGAAACTTTAATTAGAATTGCACAGAATCTTCATATCGAGTTGGGAATATTTTTTTCTAACAATATTGAGGCTTCCAGTCTCAGAAAATGGTATTTCTCTTCAGTTACTTGTTGCTTAATCATTTTGTGCTTTATAGCTTTCACCATACAAATCCTGAACATATTTTTGTTAGGTATTTACCTATTATTTCAATTTTATTTAGTGCTGTAGTAAGCAAAATTAATTTTTTTAAAATTCCAATTGTCATTGCTTGTAGGAATGAATAAAATTGGTATTTTTATGTTGACTTTATATACTAACACTTGATAAAATTGATTGATTCTAGAAAAATTCCTGAGTTTTTCAGATTTTCCACATAGAAAATAGTTTTGATCTGTGAATAGGAAATAGTTATCTCTACTTTTATATTCTGTGTTCTTTGAATTTATTTCACTTTATCAATATATTTGCTAGCATATCCAGCACAATGTTGACTATTAGGAGAGTGATTGCTCTTCCCTTGATGCTGATTTTAGAGATGAGCATACGGGCCTTCACTATTAAGTATGATGTTAGCAGTGTTTATTTTAGATACCCTTGTCAGGTGAAGGAATCCCCTTTTATTCCAGGTTTACTGAGAGTTTATCATAGACTGATAAACTTGTCGTTTCAAATGCTTTCTCTGCATGTATTCATAGGATCTTGAGCTTGTTAAGTCTGTTAATATGAATCATGTTGATTGATATATAGATGTCTTTTGTGGAGGACAGTTGAGTTTATGCTCATGAGGATTATTAATCTGTATAATTTTTTTCCTTGTAATATCTTTCTATAACAGTGGTATTAGGGCAGTGCAAAGCTCATAAAAATAATTGGGAAATAGCTACTGCTACCCTATTTTCTACAAGAGAGTATAAAAAGTGAATGTTTAGTAGAAACAATCAATGAAATTATTTGGGATGGGGTTTTCCTTATTCAAAGCATTTTGAATAAATTTCAGTTTCTTAAAAAGAAATATATCTTAAAAAGACACCCAGGTTATCTATTTCTTCTTGAGTGAGATTTCATGATTTGTATATTTCAAAGAATTATGACAATTTCATGTAAAGTGTTAAATTTATGAGCATAAAATTGTTCCTAGTATACTTTAAACACATGTTAAATAGTATCTTTTCTCCTCTTTCATTGTTTCAGTAATTTGTATCTTCTCTGGCGTTTATTTGTTTTATTTTGTTTTTTGAGTTTTTTATCAGAAATTGAAAATATTTATGAATTCTATTAAAACGTTCAAAACCTAGTTTTGAAATTGCTTTTCTACTCTTTTTACTGTATTCATCATCACTCTCTTCTCTCTCTGACTTCCTTATGTGTCAGTTTGATTTCACTAATTTCTCTTAAGTTTCTTAAGGTTGAAACTAAGATAACTCATTTGGAGGTGTTTCTTGTCTGATACAACATTTAATGCTGTAAGTTTTACTCTATGTACTGATATTAACGCATCTTAAATTTTTTGGTGTGTTACTTTTTTCTTTTAATTCAGTTCAAAATATTTTTTCTCTTGAGTATTTTGACCATAAGTTATTTAAAATTGAATTAATTTCAAAATTGTTTGGATTTTCCATACTTCTTGCTTTTTCTGACTTTTAAGTTTTTTCTGTACCAGCTACAAACTTCATTTGATTTTCATTCTTATCAATTTGTTGAGCTGTTTTATGATGCAGAATAAGGTCAGTATTGAAGAATGTTTCCTATATACTTGAAAAGAAAGCTTGTTCTGCTTTTGTTGAGTGAAGTTTCTCTGCAATTGTCTTATCAATTAATTATCAATAGAAAATAGTATTGAACTCTTTAACTATAGTTTTACCTTTTCTATTTCTTTTTTCACTTTTACCTTTTTTTGAAACTTCATATTTAGATACATTCAAATTTAAGATTACTATATGTTTTGGATAATTGACCACTTCATTATTATATGATGTCTTTCTGTACCTGTGATTTTCTTTGTCTGTGTAATTTTCTTTGAACTGAAAGCTACTTTGTCTGATATTTGTATAGTAATCATCTTTAAAGATGTTGCTTTATAAAAAAGCATTTATTTGATTACTGTTTACTTGGTACATATTTCTCTTTTCCTTTTCTATTATATTTGAAATGGGATTCTTAGGGACAGCACATTTTTGTTTCTTGGTTTTTATTCGGTCTTACAATCATTGTCCTACTGGTTTGGGAGGTCACCTGGGCTTAAAATTTATTGCAGCTATGTTTATTCTCAGGGAACCATACTCTTTAAATTTCTGTAGTAATAATTTGTATTTAGGGTTGGGTTTTTCAGAGCACTGCCTGCTTGACTCTGAGTTTTAAGTTTCCCCTTTCATCTGTGTCTCAGAGAGTCTTTTTGTATTCTCTTATTTCTCTCCAACAGTTTTCACTTTATTTCTCATTCAGCACTTGGTAATGTGGTGTTCTGAGGGACTGTGAAGATTGAGCATTCTTTGTTGTTTTAATTAAACCTGCTTTTTAGGCAAGCTCCAGGTCCCTGTGTCTCAGAGGCCTTGCCTCTCCCATGATTGTATGTGGCCCAGAGCCACTTATCCAGGAACATTTTTTACCTATTCCCTTTCTGTTCCTCAGTTACAATGAGTTTTAAATCTAAGGGTGACAGTGTTTGTTGCTCTTCTCTTCACAAATTATATAGAGGAAATATAGGAGGTGTAGGAGTGAAAGTTCTGAGTGGAATCTTCTATCCTGCCTACATACATGGAGTTTCCCTCTCTCAGGTTTATATCATATTGGATACTTGCTTAGTGGTCTTCCTGATATTTTCTTTGAATATCTAATAGTTTTTTTTTGGAAAGGACCTACAAAAGAATGGGGATTACCCCAATTTTGTGATGCTCCAAGGACTTCACACTGCCCAACACACTGGAATTGACTTAAGTAAACCTATCAGCTATTCTGGCTAAAATCTTTCAGATGTCTGGTTTATATTCCTTGGGCACGTATGTGATCTCATCTCCTCTCTCCCAGCAGATACCTGTTTTTCCTTAGGTTTGAGGCCAGTTCTTTGCTCTGTGACCTCAGCTTTCCAATGGGTTTGAAAAGAAGTCATGAATTTTAAAATTAATCTTGGTCTTCTACATTATAAGGATGAGAGTGACATTCCTTTTAGCCTGGGTTTCCCTTGTGGCTCAACTAGCAAAGAATCTGCCCGCAATGTGGGAGACCTGGATTTGATCCCTGGGTTGGGAAGATTCCCTGGAGAAGGGAGAGGCTGCCCACTCCAGTATTCTGGCCTAGAGAATTCCATGAACCATACAGTCAATGGGACCACAAAGAATCAGACACTACTGAGCAATTTTTTGACTTTTGACTCCAGAGTGGAAGCCAAATGTTTTACTATCATACTTTTAATTTTCAGAAATACTTTCTTTCTCTGATTAGTTTTTTTCTGCCTTTGAATAAAAACCTGCTGTTACTTTAAGGATATACAGTCTTCTCTAATCTAAGAATATTTATAAGAATTTTAAATATTATATTTCCAAAGTTATTTCTTCTGTCTCTGCTGTCCTCTTTTCTGTTTGTCCATTTTATACCTTCTACCTTATTGTTTTATTTTCCTCTCCTGTTCATTTTTAAATTTCCATCTCTCTTTATGAATTAAGCTTAGGATAATTAATGAAAGTGACTGACCATCTTCTAGTATATTTCCCCAACAGTCTTCCCCTTGGAATGTAAGACTTACATGTGTCTGCATGCTCAGTCACATGCAACTCTTTGTGACCCCATGGACTGCAGCCCACCAGGCTTCTCTGTCCTTGGGATTTTCCAGTCAAGAACACTAGAGTGAATTGCCAGTTCCTCCTCCAGAGGATCCTCCTAACCCAGGGATTGAATTCTCATCTCCTGCACCTCCTGCATTGGCAGGCAGATTCTTTATCACTGAGTCACCTGGTAAGTCCATAAGACTTGCATGGAACCCCTCTACACATATTTTTGAAAAGGTTTTACTTAGGTGTGAAAATGGAACAGATGCAATAAGCTGTCACCTTCTCCATAGCCAAGTTGAGATATATTCTGAAGCACTGATCTGTATTCTTAGAGCCCTCCTCTATTCCCTAGTGTATCTTCGCTTTTCTGAAGGAATCCCACTTAAGTTTTAATGAAAAAAAAATCACACTCCACTAGTTACAGTCCTTTGTACCTGCTAATTCTAAATATAGTTGAGTTCATTGAGCAGAATGTGTTTTACACCTATTGGAGATTTTTCTGTG